TCAGTGGGAATGTAAACTGATGCAGTCAGTAACTATGGAAAATGGTATGGCAGTTCCTTAAAAAATTAAAATTATATGATGTAGCTATTCTACTTCTGGGTATATACCTAAAGGAAATGAAATTAGTATCTACAGAAGAGATACCTGTACCCCTATGTTTACAATAGCCAAGACATGGAAACAACCTAAGCATCTCCTGATGGATAAATAAAGAAAATATGGTATCTATCTACAATGGAATACTATACAGCCAGGAGAAGGAAGGAAATCCTGCTGTTTCCAACAACATGGACAGACCTTGAGGGCATTATGTTAAGTGAAGTCAGTCAGACAAAGAAAGACAAGTACTGTATGATTTCATTTATATGTGCAATCTGAAAAAACTGAACTCACAGAAACAGGAAACAGATTGGTAGTTGCCAGAGGTGGTGGTGGGAAGCAAAATGGGTGAAGGTGGTCAAGGGGTATAATCTTCCGATTATAAAGGTGAGGTTTGTCTTATGTTTTAAAATTCTGAGTAATTTGTGTTGTGGTGGAGAGAGTAGGGTATAGATGATGGGCTTAACAAATACATATTTGTTAACTAATTTAGGCATAAAGTAAACAATATGGCTTCTTCAGATGAGCTAATGGAGTTAATAAAGTGGAAAAGAAATATTTGCTCCATGTGCCAGAAATCTTTCAGGGCTCAGGAGTAAAGCACCTGGTCTGTTAAATGAATTAATGACTGGGAAGAGCACATATGTCTAATGATGAGAGAAAAGGCACCTGGATATCCCGTGAGCGCTCGTAGGCCTGGTAGGCCACCTTCTCCTCGATGCTGGCCAGCTCCTGTTTCAGATTGGCTGTCTCATGCTGATGCAGGTCCGTCAGGTCATGGAGCTGGTCTTCCAGTCGCTCGTACCTTTGTAAAGAGATGAGCATGACATTCCAAAGGTGTCCTACAGCACATTCTGGAATGACATCCTTTATATCTCACTACCACCAGCGCCCCTAGTCTTGTTTTGATCTCCTGGCAGACTGTGTTTCCAAAAGAAAAGTCCACCTGTAGGGAACACACTTTTTGAATAACACTAAATTCCAGTTTCAGAAAAGACCAGTCTCTGCAGTCCTAACTCTGTCCTCACCGCTGAGGTTTCCTGCAAAGCAAATCTGGCTTTTCCACCACATCAGATCAGCACCTTGGCTGGCTACGGTGACGACAAGACAGACCTCGTCACTGATGCATTCACCATGGCTGGTCGGGATACAGAGCTGTCTTGGAAACTGTTGAAGGTGAGGACCTCCTGGCATTCTGGTGCTTCTCCCTCCTCTGACCCTACAGTGCCTATCGGTTCACAGGCTCAGCTCTCATACGCCAGAGTGTCTATAAGGATTACTGCACTGGAGGCCAGTTCCATCCATTATTTCTCAGTGCACACACGGATTCTGAATACATGTTTTAGCTCTTGGAACTTAAGTGCCAATAACAAATTAAACTCATTATAAATTATAGATAGGGTATCAAGTGGCATTTCCAAAAGTCCAAATCTAAAGTAACAGGCACAAAGATTCCCATTCCCAGCCCTTATCCTCTGAGAAGAGGGATTTGTCTTATATTTATATAAACTTATAATATTTATTTTGAAATAGGAAGTACTATTTGGCGAAGATGCATTAGCCTAAAATGACTTCAATCAATGCCAGTTTTAGATGCTTATAAGGGGTACTTGATAAGAATCATTTTTAAAAAATGAGACAAAAAAAACCAAAACAAAACCCAATACAGATTGAATTTCATTCTCACAGGTGTCAATGTTGGTGTCATAAACAAGCATTTTAAGATCTCTTAAAGTAAGGAATATAGCCAGTGGCTAAATCATTAAGATCACAAATATTACTGTATGACAAATGAGAACAAAAACTTTCCTTAATTTATGTAAATGGATATTTGTGACTTGGGATAAAATTTGGATCCAAAGAGTACCGTATCTCAAACTGTTCAGATAGAATTAAGGTTAATATTCTCTGGAAAAGTTGTGACTCAAAAATAATTATCGTGTGATGAAGAAACCAAAGTCAAGTATGTATGCGGAAAGTTTAAAAACATGTTTTATAAAATATGATCTGAAAAAAGCCACATTCCTAAATTAATACAAATGTAAAACTATGTATCAGATATAAAATAACATGTAAATTTTACAATATGTGGTAAGTATTCACTTTTTTATCTACATTTTTATAAGTAACATATTCATTTTGACCAAAAAACTTATTGAGAAAATGGTGGGAAATCGCATCATATTTGGGCATACACTCTTTTTATTAATAAACTGTAAGCACGTAAAAGACAGCTTACAAAGCAGCTGACTCAAAATTAGCTAATATAATCCACAAGATTTAAATTTATATTTTAATCTTAAAATTTCTTTTGAACACTTCATTTAGGGTGAAAAGTTTAATGAGCAAAATACAGTACATAAAAAATATATGCTATATAAAGACTTTAAGATTGGTGTATCAAATAAAATCGACCTTGCTGGACAATGAATTAGTTTTTCACTTGATAGTTATTATGGAGGAAAATCATATGCATATCTATGAACTAGTTAATGAAACTTCCCAAGGGAAGTCACTGAATCAGCAGCTTAATATCACAGACTAACTATGTAGTGATATTTTAACAAACCCCAAAATATAATGTCTTTTTCTAAAGTGTCAAGTTGTAAGTCACAGATTATAAAACTTAGAATTATGAAGGATAGAAAGAACTATTGATACCTAAATGCCTTTTGATCCATATTCCTCTTTATGAAAAACACAACCATCAGCATAACACTTTCGAGCATTCTCACTGAGGTCAGTAACTCATGCTTCCAAAAGAATTTTAAGAGAATTGTCTGAAATACCTGTATCTCTCCTCTTGCAGGGTCTGAGAAATAAAACCATATTCTTTCTTAAACTGCACCTTCAGCGCCTCGATGTCCTCGGCCAGCTGTGCCTGGGTATCCTTGATCTCCCTCAGTTCCTCCAGGATCACGGTGAGCTTCCCCTGGCTGTCCAGCATGCCAGCTCCACTGGCCCCAAACGACTGGTTGCCATTACTTTCGGCAGAGCCCGAAGTGCCACTCGAACACTCATCATCACTGCCGTACTTGGGTTTGTTCACAATGGTCGCGCTGCCCCCATAGGCCCTGGCACTCGCCTCGGGCCTAAACTCCTCCAAGGAATTTTTTAAGTGAGCGATGTTGTCTGCACTGCCAAATTTATTCCGGATCAAGTTGGCAAACTCTCTGGACTTATTGAAGACAAACACCGGTGGAGTAAGGGAGACCCCTGGCATTCCCGATTTGCCGCTCTCTAGGCTGTGGGGAGCAGTTCGAGACTTGGCGTGGGCATCTTTCAGAGAGTGCTGGATGTCCTTCAGGTTGTCCTTGGAAATGTCCTTTGAGCTTTTGGAGGCTCCGTTCTGTTCGATCTCCCTGAGCTTTCTGTGATACTGTTCTAACTTCTTCTGTAGCTGGGCAATGGAGTGAGCTGATTTCTGATTCTTCTTCTCAAAGACCTGTTTGATACGGCCAGCCTGCTGCTTGTCCGCGCTGCTGACTAGTTTCAGATATTCTGCAACATTCCCGTCGCGGGATGTTTGCTCGATTTTTATCTGCTCTGTTACTTTTAGAATTTTTTGTTTCAGGCTGTCCGCATTGAGTTTGACCTTGTGGAAGTCCAGGATGCCATCTGGTACATCAAAGTTGAGGTTGGTGTCTGACCCCCCTCGGCGGATGTTCAGGGGCAGGCTTAGGGTATTCATGTCATGACGTTCTACCTGAAAGAGACAGAGGAGAAAAGGCACTTTAAGATTTTTAGTCAAAGAGATAATGACCAATGATAGACTCTCTGCGCACACAAGAGACATACTTTAAGTCTCAAATTTTAAAAAATCTCCCTACTATCCTCTCAAGGTGAACACAGGACAGTCTAACTCCTTCATGTATCCATGTCTACTGTGAGATTTCAGATCTCCCAGGGTATCCAATTTCCTGTCTGATTCGATAGTAACTGCTAGTTGCCAAGGTAGAAGTGCATAATCGAATTAGATTACCAGTCGGTCCTGATTTCCCAGAGTGCTCAGGTAACTGGGATGCCTTCCATGCCCCAATTACAGTGAACTTCACCACTGTGGGAAATGCATCCAATTCAAAACTCATCATTTAATAGAAGGAGAATGAAAAAAAGAAAAGAAAGTTCTAGCGGGTACACTCATCAACACAAGAAATAATTTTCTTAATGGAATCATTAAACAGATGTAGTGGAATAACATGGTACAAGATTAAATTTAATAGTTGAGTAATACAACAATAGTATTTAGATGTGGAAACAAACCACCGTAAACCATAACCAAAGTGATATTTCAAAAAATCAGTAATTATACTAAGGACATGTGAAACAGCTTTCTCACTCAAGGGCCACTGGGGGAAAAGAGCTGTAGAGCATCACTGAGCATCTCGGCGCAGGGGCTGAGGCAGCAGCACTAGTCTGTGCTCCGAAAGGGAAGGCAAATGCAGCCTGTGTGCCAGGCACTGTGGGTGTTCATAGGGTGGTCTTGTTTGATCCTCACTACCACACCAGACAAAGACTATGTTCGATCCACAGAACAGGTAGAAACTGAGACTTAAAGGAGTCAGGATTTGAATCAAATCACCCTAAGTCAAGTCCTTTTTGCTCTCAGGACACCCTACTAATAGTTTCCCCAGAAGACTAAAAATGGGTCTTTGTAGAGTTTGAATACAATCTCTAAACAAAAATTCATACAATCTAAAATGAAGCATCTTACTTGTCAAGTTAACAATGCTTTGATTAGAGTAATGCCTTGATATAGAGTCTCAATAGAATTCTAATGGGAGATAGGACAATATTCAGCACATTAACTTTTCTTTCCAGGGGACAGTAGCTGACAGAGCAAAAAATTAATAAGATAATAACTTAACAGACCTCATACTGCCTAAGTGACCCAGACTTGAATGTGGATCATTTCCAAAAATGAGTATTATTAACACTTTGCCATATGAAAAATCCTACCCAGTGCTTTTTCCCAGAGAAGGGAGCCCAAGGACACAGTGGGACACAATCCCAGCTTGGTGGGTCAGGCTCCCTTCGCAACTTACAAAAATTTGTTAACATTATTTCTTGCCCCCTCTCTTCCCACACACAGTTTTTCCATGAATAAGAGACGCTAGTTGTTAATCTAGCAGAAGAGCATCACATAGGAAAGGCTGGAAGGAAATAAATGCCAAATCGCTATGAGACTAGAAAACATGATGTATGAAAAAAGGATAAAGGAATTGTGACTTCATCTGGTTAAGAGGGAAAGATAGGTGTAGGGACTAAAGAAGGCATATAATAATCATCATCTTCAGGTCCTAGAGAGATGACCACAGAAAGCTCAAGGAAGCTATGTATCTACAGCTCATGAGTGGACTCAAAAAGGAATGGGCTCAAATTACAGTAACATAGAATGCACTAAAACCTAGGAAATCATTATTTTGGGCAGACGAAGTAACAGTATGATCATGAGGCTAGAAAGTTGATTTCACTGGAGATATCTAATCTAATCATGCTCCTCTACTTCTCAGAAACCTTCTTTGGCTCCCTAATGCCTCTCAATTAAATAATACAACCTGGTCACTGTAAGGTCCTATCTTACCTTTCAGGCCTCACCTTGCGCCTAATGGATACCAGTCATCTTAAATGAACCATACAACCCAAAGTTCCCAGAATGTATGTGAATTTTCCAGGCATTTCTTTGTATGTCTAATATTCACAACGCAGGCTGCCGCCCATCGACTTTTCTTATTGAATTCCTACATATGCTTTAAGGTTCATTTCAAATGCTACTTCTTCCATGAATTTTTTCTGGTCCCATTGCAAAGCTGCCTTTCCTTTCTGTGATCCTCCATGCTGCTTCTGTGGCACCTCCCTACTCCTCATTTATCGCTTATGCATGGGGTTTAACCACCACAGCGCGGGCTCCTTCAGAAAGAGATGGTGCCATACCTCTAGCCAACCTGCCCTAGCACTGCCTTTTATTCACAGGAGGCTGTCAATTAATGTTTGCTGAGCCAAAGTGACATCATTCTTCATCATTCAAGAGAGTTTACTCTGAAGTCACTTAAGATACATTTTAATAGCATCAAAAAATAACTTTGGAAGATCTGCCCATAGAGGCCTGACGATTCCAGGTAGAGATGTTTTTCCCAATACCTAGGTAATAAATCATATACATCATTTCAAATTGATTCAGCTAAGTGGAGATTTTCTGAGTATCACTGTGCAACAACTTACACAAACACAAATAAGGACTTTTAAAATTTAATTGAAATATACTTTATATTCAGAAAAGAGCACATTTAGTAAGTATAAAATGATAAATTTTCACAAACGGAACACATTGTGTAACTAGAAGCCAGTTAAAAAAACAGAGCAGAAACTCCCCTCATGCCCCCTTGAATCACAACTACATCATCCCTGCTTCCGGGATGACCACAAACCTGACTTCTAACAACATACGTTAGTTTGGACTATCCTGTATTCATCTCGGCTTTTTTTACCCTACATTGGGAGATCCATAAGAACTTATTCTTACCCTCTTGGAGCTCATATAAGATCAGATTAAGTTATAAAAAAAACCCCAAACAACCTGCTTGGTAGTCTCTATTGAGAAGTCCACCACCAGATTTGAAGATACAGAATGTTTTATACCTTACCTTATCAACCACAGCAGCAAGTCATCACCTGTTCTTCCTCCTTTAATTCTCAACCCCACTGCAGCTGGCCACCCATCTCTGGTGTCTTAACACAATGACCTCGCTCCCTTACAGACTGCTGGGCCAGGAGAGCCTCGTATACACAGGAATGTTTACGCACAGAGGGTTGGCTGACTTTTGGTTCACTTTAAAGTTATAACAATGCTTGGCATGTCCTCAGGAGTCCAGGTCCTGAGAGTCCAGGTCAGAGGAAAGCTACAGCATTTAAAGCTCAAATCAATCACTCTAACCGCTCAGCAGCAAATCTCAGTTTAATGAGGGTGAAAAGTTGGACCTATTGCTGGGCCACACCTTTCAGCCTTTCAGAGCCCTAGCTCTGCGGGATAACTAAGAGCCAGCTAACACATCATCACTAGATGCCTACACACTCCCTGAACACAAACTGAAATTTCACATACGTGCTGGGAAGAAAGCCATGAGAGTCCTCCGTTCTCTCTTTAATCTAGACTCGACACTGAGGTCAACTGTACAGAGCAGCTTTTTCAGGGCTGGGACACAGGGAGGAGGACAAAGGTTCATGGATCCCTGAGTCAGCATGCATATGGACTCTGTGGATCAGGAGACATGTGCTCTAGTTTTGACACTGACATTTACCAGCCACAGTGTTCTTACAAATCAAATAATACCTGAGGATTTAGATTTCCTAATCTATGGACTAAAGGAGATAGAACCAGACAACTCAGAGCTAACACTGTGAAATTCCACGAAATGTAATCCAATTCCAAGAACTTTGCCTGTACTGTGGGATAGTATCATAGAACAGTCAAGACCCTGGGTTCTGCAGACAGACTACTTTGGTTTCCATCCTGGCACCACTCTTATGAGCTGTGTGGCCTTGGAAAAACGACTTAGCTTCTCTGTGTCTTAGTTTCCTCTTCTATAAAATGAAGATAAGGTTCTTCAAAGAGCTGTTGTGAGGAATAAGTAAGATAATTCATGCAAAGTGCTTAAAGACTTTCCGGCACAGAGAAAGTTTCAATAAAGATTTGCTACTGTTATCATTCCGATTCATTTAAAAATGTATCTATATGTAAAAACCGAAAGGAAAACAAGTGTCAAAGTGTTAACAATGGTTATCTTTGTACTATGGGCTATGAGGAATCATCCTTTTTATTACGCTTTTGTATATTCCAATCTTTTAAAAATAATGAACACAAATTTTGGTTTTGGCAGAAAAGGTGCTATTTTTTAAAATGACTGCTAGCCTCTCAGTTCCTCAGAATTGTTTGCTTATTAATACCTTGTATGAAAGGCAGACCACCAGCACCCCAGTGAAAAGCCATTTCTGATAATGTTTTCCTTCCGCAGCAGAAACATTTCCACCGTCACCTCAATGTTCTAGAACAAAGGCTAAGGAAAAGCCTAAGGCCTGGACAGACGTCAAAAACTGACACTGAGTCATCTCTGCAACAATCCAAGCCGCCAGCACAACGCAAGTGAGCTCAGCTCACTCACCGAGATGCCAGGCACAACACAATCATTACCAGTGCTGTTCGAACACATTGTTCAGGCTTCCAAGGAGAGCTGTCCCCTGTGACATTTCAAATTTACCCCTCAAAGTTCCAAGGGAAAATGAACAAAAGGGAAATGAGGGGCTCCTGGGAACCCTTGAAAGGTGTGGAATGAGGCAGGAGTTCCTGAGGTTCTGAGGGCCACTTGAGTAGTCAGGATGTGCAGAGGCACAGAGATCAGAATGAGGGGGAGAGATGACTGCCTACTCAGTCCCGAGACCGGATACAGTTAACCTTTGCTTAAAGACAAGCTGCTTGAGCTCAGTCATATAAGGCAAGGGTCAGGTCTTTCAAACTGGCTGGTTTCACAGACAGGCCCACAATGGAGGTGCATGTTCAGTATCCCGAGACTTTCACTGATCTTTGTGGCCTAGGTGTCCAAGTCAACACTGCTAACATTCTGTACTCTTACTCATATTAGCTGGAATCCAACTTCAGATCTAGAGTTAAGGCTGTTCCCGTGGTGTGCCAGTCAGAATGTGCTAGGCTTC